ACCTGGGTCCTCCTTCTTGCCCTTTTTGAAGTGACAGTTGCTTTTCTCCAGTCCTCAGGCACCTCTCCTGTTCCCCACAACTTACCAAAGATGATGGAGAGTGGAGCAGATTATTCTTTTTGTACATGATCCTGGAGCTCCTTGCCATAATGTGCAAAGTAGGTGTCACCTAGGTATCAAAAGTCTGGACTTGATGAAAGTGTAAATTTAGCTGCTCTGTCTTCCTGTGTCTGAATAGAGTAAGATGCAGTTTAATAAGCTGTATCCCGTATTAGGTCATTAGCCACACATCTCTGACGTATGACTAGAGATACTGGGCAAAGCCTTATCTCTCCTATTACTAGAAAGTGTGAAAGTGATAGGGAGTAGATTATGTGAAATGATTCATCAGGCTGCAAAGGAAGGTAAAAGCACAGCTTACTCCTGTCACTCTGATTTGAGGGGAAGATAGCCACTCATTTTCAAAACTGATAGTAAAACCTCCAGCACATAAGTGCTGCAGGTGATCTTGAGGACGTGCCCACTTTGCTCTGGCTGTATTTGCGATGGGATGCTGTCATGACGAGGTAGGGGGTTGTGCACGTAATGAGGCAGGGAGAACAGAGACAGAGCTGGTGGTTGTGTTTAAGCCCAGAAGATTAAACTAGAATACTCCTTCCACATCCCAGTGTCTTTTATTTTTGCCTTCGCTGTTAGCTGTGTGCTTTTGTGAAGTACAAGATGTTATAATAATCATTGTGTGAAGTCACAGCTGTAGTGTTTTCTAACAAGCTGTAATAGCTGCAGGCAATTGCACACACTCCAGAGCTTAAGAGATGAATAGTGTAGGAAGAATTTGAATCTTATTTCTGAGTAGGCAGGCCAAAGAACTTCCTTCAGGGAAGTTTTCTTTCCAAGTGCAGAATTTCACAAGTTTCTTAGATAGATCTATGTCATTAGGTTAACTGGCCTTTCTTCCTAATAGGTGCTTTGTATCATTCAAGCAGAGCTATTTAAGACACTTTAGTAGCCTTATGTCAAAGTCTCTGCAGCTTTAGCTATGCTATTTTACAGCATATTAAGGACAAATTAGCTTCTGACATGCACACAGATTAGGTGGTCATTCATCATTCAGCTTCTTTGAGAAACAGCTACAGAGTGTTGGATGCAGAAGCTCAGTATTAGGCAGGAGTTATTATGTCAGTGCTTATAGATATTAACCATTTTTCTGCAAATGCTTTACAGGAATAAAGAAAATTCGTCACCCTTAGAATCAAATCAAGCTCAAGGTAAAAATAAGCCAAAAAAGAGGAAGATAGCTGAAACCTCTAATGTTATCACAGAAACACTGCCATCTGCAGAATCGGAGCCTGTTGAAATTGAGGTTGAGATTGCTGAAGGAACGATTGAAGTGGAAGATGACAGCATTGAAACACTTGAAGAAGTAGCTTCTGCAGAGCAATCCATAAAGTACATACAGACAACGGGTACATCAGACGAATCTGCTTTGGCTCTTTTGGCAGATATCACCAGCAAGTATCGTCAGGGAGAGAGAAAATGCCAGATCCAAGAAGAAGGTGATAGTGCAACTGATCCCTCGTGCAAACAGGTAGAAGGTATTGAAATTGTGGAACTTCAGCTGTCACACATGAACAATTTATTCCACTGTGAGAAATGTAACCGTTCGTTTAAATTGTTTTACCATTTTAAGGAACACATGAAAACACACTCTACTGAGAGTTACAAGTGTGACATATGCAATAAAAGATACCTACGAGAGAGTGCTCTGAAACAGCACCTCACCTGTTACCATCTTGATGAAGGTGGTGCCAGCAAGAAGCAAAGACCTGGCAAAAAAATACATATATGCCAGTACTGTGATAAACAGTTTGACCACTTTGGACATTTTAAAGAGCACCTCCGGAAGCACACAGGTAAGAGTACTGCTATAGTCCTGTCCTTGTGGCCTTGGCTCTGGCATTTTGGGTTTTTACATGTTTTGGGCAAATACAGAATATGCTGAAGAGAACACATGAGTCCTGAGTGCTAGAAATACTTGACTTCTAGTTGCAACTAAAATGCTGGTTTGTCTTTTTGTGTGTTCATTGGTTTTGTTTTCCATTGATGTAAACTTTTGAGGGATGGAGATGGTTGAAAACCATCTGGCACTTAAAACCAGAAAGCACTAATGAAGTTTCTCTGTCAAGTCTATTAAATCTTAAAAGATTTTTTCAAAATAATTTCTTAAGGCATGTTTCCTCCTTTAGAAGTACCAAACCAAGCTACATTTCACAGTTCTAGTAGTAAAGGTTTCTGTTGAAATATGATCTGAACTGTGAGCTTCTCGGTGGAATACAGTTTAGAAGGTTTCTTTATGTAACAGAACTTCTGAGCAAATGCCTATTAATGCATTAGACATAAAATATAACCTTACAATTCTCTCTTGTATCATCTTGTTTGGAAAGGTTCACCCTTGCTCTTGACATCTCATCTACAAGTTGATTTTTCTTCGTTAATTAACACAGCAAAAAGCATTTCTAGTGACTATAGTACACTTTACTGTGAAATCTGCCTCTTTGAAAGCTGGATACCATCTTTTGAGTGCAAAACGACTTGTGCTTCTTTCTTCTTTATAATATGGGAGGTTAAGATTCTACTTCTTCATCTCACTGAAAAGTTTGCTATCTGAACAGATACTGAGCATTATGCAGATAACTGAATGTAAAATATATGTGGTCCTGATCTTCCAGATGTTTTTGTGTAACACATCAGTCATGAGTCATCAGGAAGAATTTAATGGAGAGGAGCAGCGCTATTTCTTTTGCAGCTTCTTATTATTGTTAAAGCATTTTAATTCAAATTTCTTTGTATCTGTGTATGGGACTGCTGAGTATTGATACATGACACTGTGTCCAGTCTATTCCCAATAGCCTTTGGCAACTCCTATGAGGCAGGGAGCGTTTCTCCATTATGAGCAATCCAAATACAAGCTACTTGAAAGTCGTTTCAAAGAAAAGTTTGTGGCAGATCAACAGAGTAACCCAAATATCACAATATGTTGGTTGCTGTTGTGACAAAAGATTCTGGGGACAAAACAACTTAACATATCAGGAGGTACAGAGTACTTTTTAAGTATATATTGATACAACAAGTATAACACATGGAATCTAATTACTTCCGATTTAGCAAAAGCCTTAAGCTTAAAATCAAACCAGACACTATTAGTGGACAAACTCCCATTCAGCCAAAGGCTTTCTAAGTTCTTAATTCTGTATAGCACTGGTTGAATGCTAAAATGAAATTAAAAGGCCTGGGAGAAAATGTTCTACAAAGTATTTGATCCTGTTGCTGCTTAATCACACCACCAGCAATAACATGAAAATAATTGGAGCAGAAGTAAATGCCTTATCAGTGTTGGTAATTGTTTTTGATGTAGGAATTTGACATTAGCAATAGCTATTATCTTTGTCTCAATAAAAGAAAGGAAGGAGATCTGTGGAGTTTCTTTTTCACTCCTATGTACGGTGCCTTAAGCAGTTTCTGAGTCTCTGAAAAACTACCTCAGAAATGTCTTGCATGTCATGTAACTCTGAAAGCATTAACAGAGTCATGTCCAAAACTTACAAAGAGGGAGGGGTTTTGGTCTGATCTAATTATTATCTTTTTCCCCTTTATGAGAACGGATGAGATTTCACTTGCCAGTTGTAAGAAACACACACCACAGAAATTCTACAAGGCTGCACTTAAGTAACGTATATCTGTTGAATTCAATAGCTCTAATTCGTCTTGCACAAAAAGAGCAATTTCCTCATACAGAAATCAATCTTAGAATAAAGCTACTGCTCTCAATATGCTGGTCTAATCCTGATATTTTGCAAGGCTTATAGTCCCTAGCACAAAGAGAACAACTGATTCTCTCTGATTTTACTGGAAATTTTGACTGCTGAATATTTTGCAAAGTTAGGCCTTCTTGATTATTTTTTTCTTTTTTTTCCTTTTTGGGAGAGTGTGTTTGTGCTCACATGAGTAAAGATGGGAGTGCAGGTGTTGTGGTATGCTCCAGGAAGCTAAATTAATCTGCTCTTGTCTGAAAACCCTGTAACTGAAGTAATTTATGTACAAACTTCTTAAGAAAAATTAATCAAGGTCTTTGCCATTCTTGGTAAATCTAAAATATGTTTTACAGGAAGTGCAAAACAGTTATTTGAACTGCAAATAACATCTTTCATAGGAGTGAATAACTGGACTCTCATACCTTGAATAAATGATCCCAAGACGTTAACTTGATAACCACTTGCCTTTGGTGTGTTTGTGGGGAAAAAAATAATAACTAGGTTTACTATTTCTCTGTGAAGCCAATCTAAATAATGATATGGTAGTTTTATGGTTATAGTTGAATTTTTTGGTGTTTCTTACATATTAGGCAAATAAAAGTTACTGTGCTAGTTGTTCGAATTTCTTTGGGTTAAAAAATATTTATTTGGGGCAGTGCCCTTCTTGTGACCGTGGGATTACAAAGGACCAGCACAGTATCAGACTGTCTCCAGTCAGAATTTCTGTCCTGTGAGTTAGTTACGATTGGCAAGTGAAATCTCATCCATTCTTATAAAGGGATAATCAAAGGATAATCGTTAGATCAGGCCAAAAACCTCCTTCTTCATAAAATCTCACTTAGATGAGACTGAACTCATAGTTTGCCATAGGATGACATGCGGGGGAGGAGAAGCAAGTTGTCACCTTTAGCAGAGGAGTTTAACCCCCAGCTTGCCAGCCTGTTTCTCAGAAAAGAAAGAGGGGAGAAAACAGCTGGCATGCTCTCTGTGTTTTCCATCACTGCTGTGACTGGTGCAGCCCAGGTCACAGTGCTGATTTGCACTGTGCAAGAAATCACAAAATGTCTTTTGGCCTTTGGATATTGCTACCATTATCTTCGAATTGTCACTTTCAGACACTTGACACAGAATATTTTGGAGATTACTGAAGAGTTTGAGTAAGAATAGAGTAAATCTGTCCCCGACTGATTCCTTGCTCCAAGTAACTATTTAAATGTGTCCAGATCACAGGGCAGGTGAAAGTCTGTGGTGTTGAGTTTTGCCTTCAGTCTGTGGTGTAGTATCCATGGGTTGCTTGGGCAAAGTCCATGATTTTTGACATGCAAGACTCAGGGCAGTTCCGCATCTTCTGCATTACCCATGCAACAGCCTCCAAACCCATAGCATTTGGGTGACCATTAAGGTGAATGTTCCCACCATTTAACATTTTTTCTGTAGCCTTTAGGTGTATAAGTGAGAATTACAGACACTTGTAGATTTCTTTTGAAAAGCTAATTAAGAACTTCTGAATATTCCTGAAAATATGAGTTTATTTGCTTTCCATCTCAATAACTACTGCATTCCTGAAAATGCAGGCTTTTAAACCAGCTAGGATACATCCTTATGTTATTCACTGAAATGTCTCAGCGTCTTTTGAAGTTCATTAAGCTGTTGGTTTCAAACTGATGTTAGTGTCTACCTCTGCAGATTAATTATCAGGCTTTCAGAAGAAACACACTGTTCCTAGTTTTTTGTACTTGAGTTTCCTTGAATTCCATTGTGTTTGTGCATGATAAAATTAGTAAACAGAGACGCCAGTTGTTCTTTGTTGCTATATGATGGCAGTAATAACAATATGCCACTTCGGGTGAAAAGGCTGAAAACAGATTGTTTTCTCTTCCTCTGCTGTTGTCCTTAGCTGGTTTCTGTGTTTGGTACCAGGTTTGAAATGAAGTGGCCAAACTGAAAGGAATTTTTATCTTGCTTGTGCCCATTTATGTCTCTCTGTGCTTTCTCTTCACTGTATTTTGCAGGGAGGGGATGTTGTTCAGGTTTTTTAATACTGATATGTTGTTATTTTGTGGTCATTCTGTGCCAAATGGTAATCATTACATCATGTTTTTTTTCTAAGGGAGAGTAATGTCTCCTGGTTAGGTTTTTGTAATTTCATTTACATGAATAAAGTTTACATAGAATGTCTTTCTCTTCCAGAAAAAATGCAGTTGGCCATCTCTTTACAGCACATTTGTCAACCTGCGCAAAAGGGAGAGGGGGAAGAAGAGAAAGCTGACAGAAAACTGGCTGATTCTACACTTACAAATCCCTGTGTCTGTCTTAACAGGTGAAAAACCATTCGAATGTCCGAACTGCCATGAACGTTTTGCTAGGAATAGTACGCTCAAATGTCACCTGACAGCCTGTCAGTCTGGAGCTGGAGCTAAAAAGGGAAGAAAGAAGCTGTACGAATGTCAGGTGGGTAACAGAAGTAGCAGAGTCTGAGGCTAGATCCCTGCTTCCTGTGCTGAGGGAGTGTGGGAATACTGAGCGGGAAAGGCAAGGAGAGTGGGCTTATGTCCGCAAGAGCTACTTTTATTGAAATAAGTACAAGGATCGCATTCTACCACAACATGCAGATAAATTCTTCTGTCTAAGTAGTTCCATTTAAAATACGGAATTACTGGTATGAAGCGTCATAATGCTTAAAATTAGAGAGATTCTTATGGGTAGATAAGTGTTCATCTGCATTTTACTGACCTTTGTCCTTCCTTTTCAAGGTTCTTGATGCACTGGCCTAGGCCTTTCCTGCTTGTGAGCATTCTACACTAAAGACCAAAATACAAAGTACTATCTTATTTCCTATTTTATTATTCTTCTGTTGACGCACAGTATATTGACTTTGTCTGGAAAGTCGTTCCAACTTACAATGACAAGTCTGTAATGTCTTTTAAGCAAATACAAATGATGTAGATGGATAGCCAGGGTACTTGGTCACTGTACGTAACTGACATTTCAATAGCTGTTCAGATAAATCTTACTTAGCTTTTAAAAGCTGATTCTGAAAAGCTAGAAAATACAAGAGCTGAGGTTGGCTGTAGCATTTTTATTTGCCATTTTGCTGACCCACTGCTGTGACAGAGCACACTTCCTTTTCTCTCGCTGTCTTTCTCTTCTTTTCCCTTAAGGTTGTCACCTTATTCAGTTCACAGAATGGCTGCGGTTTGAGGTTAAATTGTGTTGTGTGTAGTGAAGAGGACTGCTGGATATCTGCTTTATTTGTTCCAAAAGAGAGAGTGATCTTATTCACAGAAAGCATTGAATACTGCAGGAGATTAATTAATTTTATGTTGCTAATCAAATCATTTAATCAGAAGTTTCACTGATGCTGTTGCATCATTTATTTATGCTAGTGTCTACGCTTAGCCTGTACTCAGGGCTAAACTGTAACAGTTGCTCTATCACTTGACAACCCCTCACCAGCCAGGGAGAGGAATCAGGAAAAAGAGCAGACCCGTAGGTAGAAGTGCAACAGATTTCCTGAAGACACCACCACTGCCAGCACAGATATACTCAGCCAAACAAACATGCTGTTGCCTCAGTCGACCAGAGGGTAGTCCTCAGGAGAAGCCAGAGGAGGAGCAGGAGAGACCCCAGCAGGAGCCCCACAGGAGCTCCCCTTCTTCAGCCAACCTTCCCCCTTTATAGTGACCATGACATGATGGTACGGGCTGCCCCTTAGCTAACTCGGCTCAGCTGCACTGGCTGGCTTGAGCCTGCCTAGCATGGCTGGGCTGTGATTCTCTCCCAGCCAAACCAGGACAGCTAGTCTGCAGTTAATTCTTGGGACCATACCTTTGTCTTGAAGATAATTTTGTTTTGAAAGTGAGAATTACTGTATATCACAAAGTTGTACCTAATAGCTTCATTGAACATACTGATTTGTCTTTGTGACCCTTCAATCTAATCGCTTTATGTCATATGTTTCTCTTTCTAAATTGACACCACATCCTCTCACAGATGTTGTGAATGTGGATTAGTGTTTCTTCAGCCTGCAGAAACTACAGCAATTCTTGAATAAATTTTTCTTGAAATTTTCTGTCTTTAGAACTAAATTTGAATAGTGGTCAATATATAAATCTTGGCTCACTGAACAGGAAGAAGAAAACAAAAATGTGCTTCCTTGATGAGCACTTCTGGTGCTCTTCAATGTATGCCTTACTGTGGTGGGTTGACCCTGGACAGATGCCAGGTGCCCACCAAAGCCACTCTATCACTCCCCCTCCTCAACTGGACAGGGGAGAGGAAAAAAAAAATATAACAACAGGCTTGTGAGGTTGAGATAAGGACAGGGAGATCCCTTAACATTTACTGTCACGGGCAAAACAGACTCGACTAAAGAAAAATGTAATTTATTACCAATTAACTCAGAGAGGAGTAGTGAGAAATAAAACCAAATCTTAAAACACCTTCCCCCCATCCCTCCCTTCTTCCCGGGCTTAACTTTGATCCCGATTTCTCTCCCTCCTCCCCTCCAGCAGTGCAGGGGAACAGGGAATGGGGGTTGGGGTCAGTTCATCACTGTTGTTTTCTGCCGCTCCTTCCTCCTCAGGGGGAGGACTCCTCAAACAATTCCCTTGCTCCAATGTGGGGTCCACCTCACAGAAGATGGTCCTCCATTTCTCCAGCGTGAGTCTTCCCACGGGTTCAGTCCTTCATGAACTGCTCCAACGTGGGTCCCCTCCATGGGGTGCAGTCCTTCAAGAACCGACTGCTCAAGTGTGAGCCCCCTCACGGGGTCACCAGCAGCAAACCTGCTCCAGCGTGGGCTTCTCTCTCTCCACGGGCCACAGGTCCTGCCAGGAGCCTGCTCTGGTGCAGGCTTCCCACAGGGTCACAGCTTCCTTCAGGTATCCACCTACTCCGGCGTGGGGGCCCTCCACGGGGTGTAGGCAGTCATCTGCTCCACCGCCCATGGGCTGCAGGGGGACAGCCTGCCTCACCATGGTCTTCACCACAGGCTGCAGGGGAATTGCTGCTCCGGCGCCTGGAGCGTCTCCTCCCCCTCCTTCTGGAATGACCTTGGTGTCTGTGGGATGTTTCTCTTACATATTCTCACTCCTCTCGCAGCAATTACTGCTGCGCAACAACTTTTTCACTCTCTTAAATACGTTATCACAGAGGCGAAAAACGCTGTCGCTGATGGGCTCGGCCTTGGCCAGTGGCGGGTCCGTCTTAAAGCCGGCTGGCATTGGCTATATCTGACATAGGGGAAACTTCTAGCAGCTTCGTACAGAAGCCACCCCTGTAACCCCCCCTGCTACCAAAACTTTGCCACGCAGACCCGTTACACTTCAGTACTGAATTAGGTTCCATGTGGCAAGAACAGTGACTGTGGTGTTACCAATAGTCATTACCTTTATGTATGACTAAGTAATTTTGAGTGCTTATCTGTAAGGTTAGTACTTTAAGAAATGTATGTGCAACTTCTTTCTAAAGTGTGACCCTGGAGGAAAAAAGGCATGGCACTAGCGTCACAAACCCATTTTAACAGACTTCAACAGCAAAATCGAGATATTTAGCTTGGAGAAAACTTTCAAATGCTGTATTGACTCATAAATTTTGTAGGTATCCTGTGTATGCACAAATCAAAACTTGTTCTTGAGCTAATCTTTGTGAGATACTCCATCATCTTTCTGTGCATTGCTGCAGATTATGAGGAGATGGAACATTCTATTTCAAAACTACTTGCCAGCAGTTAAGGGGTGTTGAAACATGTTCTTAGCTGCTTTCTGCAGCCAAGAGCACTTCATGAGCAAAGGCTCCTGAGCCTGTTTCCTTACTCTGAGCCTGACTGTCACGGTTTGAGGCTGGGCCGGCCCCTAACAAATGACAGACGCTCTCTGTTAACCCCTCTCCTCTCACAAAAGGGAAAAGGAGAGACAACAAGGGAGAGAGACTTTACGGTTTGGAAGAGAAAACTAAACCAGCTTTAATGAAACAATAACAGTAAAAGAAAAGATAACAATAAGAATAAGGAAATAATTAAATATACACAATATGTCCAATTATATACAACACCAATACCGAACCCAACTCCCCCCACCCTGATGACGATACATCACTGCTGGCACTGCAGGGCTGGCACTGGGGCAGTCCCAGGCTGGACTGGGCAGCAGACAGGAATGGAATGCAGGAGATGGACTCAGGCACTTGATTCAGGGATGCACGGATCGGGATTGACAACAGAACAGAGTCCTCCTTAAATGTCAGCCATTGAAGAAGAGAAATTGACCCTTGTGATCCCTCAACTTTATACTGAATATGACGTGTATGGGATGGAACACTCTGTGGGTCAGGTTTGGGTCCCCTGTCCTGTTTGCTCCTCCCTGCAGGTGTGACCTTTTACGTGCTTGTGACCCTTTTCTCTCCCGGCACCCCAACACGGGGTACAAGATTTAGCAGTGACCTTGGTCGCCATAAGAACAAGTACAAGCAAGGGCCTCTCTGCAAACCGTTCCTTGGTACGAACTATAAACATCAGGCCTTATCACTGCTGGGAGCAGTCACTGTCTGGAAAAACAGGCTGCTGTTTCAGAAAGTGCAACTACTTAGAAGAGACTTAACTGAAAAGTTAAAGCACTAAAACAGAATTAGTTCTGGTTTAGCCCAAACCAGGACACTTCACTCTTCCCTGTCTTCTACCCTGGCACCTCATTCCTTTCTGTAGTCTCTGTCTTCTTTTCAGGCTATTTGCCTCAGTGCCAGCTGAAGGGAAGAAAATGTGCTCATGCACTTCGTGAAAATAGCGTGTCTGCAGTTGAGGCAGTACTTTTAGCTGGAAGAGAATTAAAGGGATGGAGTTTTAAGATAATTTTATCTATTGAAATCACTCAGGTGTTGTTTTTGTAATGCAAAATGGGAGAGTTTAATCTAGCGAGTTAAACCTCACGATGCCATGAGCAAATGAAAGCTGATGAGGAAAAGTTGGCTGGTAGTACTGCATCTGGCACTTCAGTAAAAGGACAGTTTGTATTACACTTCCCTGGTACAGTATTATTACATAAATAGCTTTCCACCCAAAACACTAGCACCAGATGTTTATTGTGGCGTCATACTGTACATGAATTTCACATAAGGTTAAAATAAGAAAACTTTCAAATGCTGTATTGACTCATAAATTTTGTAGGTATCCTGTGTATGCACAAATCAAAAGTAACACACTGTTTCTTAAAATGAAGTAAATAAATACCAGGTCTTCTGTTCATCTGAAGCTGACTTCTCAGCTTTTACCTCTAACATGTATGGGTTTCTAATCCAAGGAGCAAGAAGCTGCACTATGTAAAGCTCTATACTTGGTCATGTTTCTGTTGGCACTGTTTAACATGCTGTATCTTTTGTTTCAGGTTTGTAACAGTGTGTTTAACAGCTGGGATCAATTCAAAGATCACTTGGTAATACACACCGGTGACAAGCCCAACCACTGTACCTTATGTGATTTGTGGTTTATGCAAGGCAGCGAGCTGAGAAGGCATCTCAAAGACACGCACAATATTTCAGAACGAATTGTGACAGAAGAGGTTCTTCCAGTGGAAGCTGAACCAGTAACATCAATGACTATAATAGAACAAGTGGAGCAAGTCCATGTCCTACCAGTAATTCAGGTACAAGTGGATCCTGCACAGGTCACTGTGGAACAGATGCACCAGGATCTGATACAGGACAATCAAGTGAAAGGCACACAGATAGATGAACTGCAAGAGCAGGTGCAGATCAGTTACTTGGAAGTTGAACACATTCAGACTGAACAAGGTGCTGAAGTTCACGTGGAGCAGTTACATGTTGAGCATGTAAATCAAATACAGATGGAAGAAGTACAGGCAGAACTTATAGATGGAACAGACCTGGAACAAGTAGAATATGAAAGTGTTGATCAAGGAGAATCAGAAGAAAAGGAACCTAATCAAGTAGGTGATGGAGATAAGGAAGATCATGAACAAGCTGAAGACTTAAAAACTCAACAGTTAGTGGACATGCAGAATGAAAAGCAGGATGACTAGGACAAATAACCACACTGTGCAGGTTTAGGGATGAAATACCAAATTATTTTTGTTAACTTTTACATTGGTTTTTGAACCGTCAGTTGTTACTTTTCCAGTATGCTGTCCTTAGGAAGCTGGACAAGTGGACCAAAATTAGCTTTCTTCATGTACGACTAAACTGCTCTCATACGTGAAAAATAACTTTTCCATTCATGTAATACCATGGAACAGAAACTGCCACAGACATGGACAGCTTTTAATACTTAATAGTTTGTGTCATTGTTACACCATCCCAGGGTGTATATAAGAGTAACTTGGTCTCTTTC